CCCGTTCACCACCTTCAGATGTTTCAATGTGTGAATCTCGCAGCCGTGTTTATGTGCTGAGCAGAGAATTTTGTGGAATTATAGCTGTTCAATTTTTAACTTTTTTTAAGGGGAGAGACCAGGGGAACCTCTCAAGCCACCATTCTTCTGAAATAAATTTATATTACTTCTGAGAAGATATGACTTATTTACTGAATTCCTTAGAAAACCTGATTTAATAAATACACTTAGTATTTTTGTAAGAATGGATACAAAAATAATACAAAGACATATACACACAAGAGAATTACTCCTTTCAATGGAACAATAGTCATGTCAGAAAGGCTTGGGTTCATTGTAATGGTTCCATTACTTAACATATTGTTAGATCAATAATTGGAAATTATCTCCAGAGCTAATGTATAAGTTTCAAGAATGTAAGTCCTATTTCTTTAATCTTTAAAAAATTTTTTAAAATTAAACTTATTGGGGTGACATTGGTTAATAAAAGTAGATAGGTTTCAGGTGTACGATTCTACATCTTCTGTACCCTGCATTGTGTGCTCGCCACCGAGTTCGAGTCTCCTTCCATCCCCATTTATCCCCTTTACTGTCTTCTGCCTCCCCCCCACCCCTCCCTCTGGCACTCACCACACTGGTGTTTGTGTCCAGTGGTCTTTTTTTCTTTGCTTAATCCCTTCACCCTTCTCACCCAACCCCCGGCCCACTCCCCTCTGACAGCTGTCAGTCCATTAATCCGCTCCCTGTATCCATGAGTCTATTTCCACTCTGCCTGCCAGTTTACTTTATTCACCAGGTTCCACAGACTATAAGTGAATAGGCCAATTCTTCCCTAAATTTCTCTTTCCAATGATATTTATCAACTTAAGCTAATAACAAACAACTATTAGTAACATTCATCTCAAAATCTCCTTGCCCAACCTACAGACACATTAGGTATATTTTCTGCCTTCTGAGCTACTGCAGGTGACAGTTTTGCCAGATATTTGGCCATAAATAGTATGTCACCATTTGTTCAATCTGAAATAACAGTTTCCATGCTGCCTTCTAGTCAGCTCCAAATGTCACATATTTCGGGC